AGGGCTGGGAGGTGGGGGGAGGGCTGGGAGGCAAGGGGGGAGGGCTGGGAGGCAGGGTGGGGACGGCTGGGAGGCGGGGTGGGGAGGGCTGGGAGTGAGGGGGGGAGGGCTGGGAGGTGGTGGGGAGGGAACATGGCCATCCCTGTCTGGCCCCCTTCCTCCAGGCCAGACCTCAGACCTTTCATTGCCTCCCTCCCACAGGCACCAAACTGGACAGCTCCGGTGTGGCCTTCGCCGTGGTGGGGGCCTGCCAGGCCCTGGGTCTGCGGGACGTCCACCTGGCCCTGTCTGAGGACCACGCCTGGGTCGTGTTTGGGCCCAATGGAGAGCAGACGGCTGAGGTCACCTGGCATGGCAAGGGCAATGAGGACCGAAGGGGCCAGACAGTCAACGCGGGTGTGGCTGAGCGGGTACTGCTCCCCCCCCCCCCCAGTCCATTCACACTCCCAGCCCCAGCCCCCCAGGGGCTGTGCTTTCCTGAGCCACACTCCCTGCTCCTTGTCACCACCTGAGTGTCAGGAAGGGGACACGGGAGGGAGCAGGCACAGGGTCATCGTGGCCATCTGGTCTCGTCTTCCCCCAGAGCTGGTTGTACCTGAAAGGGTCGTACATGCGCTGTGACCGCAAGATGGAGGTGGCGTTCATGGTGTGCGCCATCAACCCTTCCATCGACCTGCACACGGACTCCCTGGAGCTGCTGCAGCTGCAACAGGTACGTGCCCGTGGGCCCTGGCAGCTGCGGCAGGGGAGGTGTGCCCATGGGGCCCTGGGCAGCTGCGGCAGGGGAGGTGTGCCCGTGGGGCCCTGGGCAGCTGCGGCAGGGGAGGTGTGCCCGTGGGCCCTGGCAGCTGCGGCAGGGGAGGTGTGCCCGTGGGCCCTGGCAGCTGCGGCAGGGGAGGTGTGCCCGTGGGCCCTGGCAGCTGCGGCAGGGGAGGTGTGCCCGTGTGCCTGTGGGGCCCTGGGACCCTGGCAGGGGCACTTTTCCTCCCCCCCTTTTTTTTTTTGTTAATCCTCACATGAGGATATTTTTTCCATTGATTTTTAGAGACAATGGAAGGGTGGGGGAGGGACAGAGAGAGACACGGATGTGCAAGAGACACATGGATTGGTTGCCTCCCTTACTCACCTTGATCAGGGCCAGGGAGTGAGTCTGCAGCCGAGGTACGTGCCTTTGACTGGAATTGAACCAGAGACCCTTCAGTCTATAGGCCGATGCTCTATCCACTGAGCAACACTGGCTGGGGCTCAACTTCCCCTTTTGCAGCATGGTTCACAGGGCCTGGCCCCGTGTCTCCCAGGGCTCTGGGTGGTGTTAAGACAGGAAAGGACGATGACTCCAGTAAGGGGCTGGTTTCTAAATTCTGGCCCTTCCTGTCCGGTGGGAGGTCCCTGCTGGGGGTGGACCCCTTTGCCTGGTAGACTGAGGACTTACCACACACACACACCCCTCTTATTTCTCTTTTGGCTTCTAGAAACTGCTCTGGCTGCTCTATGACCTGGGCCATCTGGAAAGGTCAGTAGGGGGAAGTGGCCAGGCCAGACCTTCGGGGCCGAGTGGCTGGGTGGCAGCCTGGGCTCATGGGCTTTTCCTAGGTACCCCATGGCGCTGGGCAACCTGGCAGATCTGGAGGAGCTGGAGCCCACCCCTGGCCGGCCAGACCCACTCTCCCTGTACCACAAGGTGGGGGTTCCCCAGCGCCCAGAGGGGAGAACCAGTAGTGGCTGGGTCCCCTTCTCCCTGGGAACTGGGAGGGGCACATGAGAGAAGAGCTTCCTGTGTGCTTACCATGGACCTATCAGTGCTGGCTGCCTCACGCTGCCCTCCTGGCGTGTAACATGTCAGATGTGGGGCGCTGAGGGGGGTGTTTACTTGGTGGGAGGGCATTGGGCTGGGCCTGGGCGGCTTTGGTGCCTGTGTGGGGGGTGTGGGACAGACCCCTCCCTCTCCTAGGCCTGGTTCTGCATCTGGCCCAGGCCTCACCAAGCAGCCCTGCAGCCATGGGCGGAGCAGCTGGCAGAGCGATGGCTGGGGGAGATGGGGCTCCGGGGGTCTTGCCTGTTTTGCATTCTGGCTGTGATCGGGGGAACAGTCCTGCCAGAGGGTCCGGCTGGGGCTCCTCCCTGAGGCCTCCACTCTCTCCCTAGGGCATCGCCTCCGCCAAGACCTACTACCGGGACGAGCACATCTACCCCTACATGTACCTGGCCGGCTACCACTGCCGCAACCGCAATGTTCGAGAGGCCCTGCAGGCCTGGGCCGACACGGCCACTGTCATCCAGGAGTGAGGACCCTTCGCCCCACCCCCCACTAGGACCTTAGTCCATCCTCCCTTCCTCTTCCACCCACCTTCCAACCATACTGACCCAGGAGTGAGGCCTGGGTCCCAGCCCCATCCTTCCCGCTAGTCTGTCAGCCAAGGCCACCACCCCCAGGAGGTAGGGATCCCTATGAGAGCCTCACGCCTCTCCCTCCCTCCCCTCTCCTCCTAACTGCCAACACCAGCATCCAGCAGTAAACCCTGCCCCCTGCCCCCTGCCCCCTCCTCCCTCTGGCTCTGGGCTGGCACAGATATGGTTTGGGAGTGAGGACCCCAACACTCACCCAGGCCCTAGGAGATCAAAGCAAAAGAAACCTGGGCTCCGTCCCCACCAGGTCCTGGGGGCTCCCAGCCTGGCGGAGGCCCCACGTGCCCTCCTGCCCTCACAGCTACAACTACTGCCGGGAGGACGAGGAAATCTACAAGGAGTTCTTCGAGGTCGCCAATGACGTCATCCCCAACCTGCTGAAGGAGGCGGCCAGCCTGCTGGAGGCGGGCGAGGAGCGGCCGGGGGAGCAGGCCCAGGTGAGGGCTGGGGCTCAGCCACAGCACACGGACTGCGGGGCTGAGCGGTGCCCAGCACGCAGCAGCAGGTCTGAGGGAGCTGAGGGCATTGTGAGGGTTTCTGCCTTATTCCTTCAGATAAATGGGTAATGCCCATCTCTTTCATGGCCAAGACTTCTTATTGCGTGGAGGGGGGCGGGATGGAGGTAAGGGATGGTTCCCTCTTTTCTCCGGGACCTGGCTCAGAACTGGTTTCATACAAGGAAGGCGGCTCTGAGAGTTCCCCCTTCCTCACTCTGAGATGAGCGGCTCGGCCCAGCCCTCTGGTCGAGGGAGGAAGGGGTTCTGATCTGGGCCCTCTCTCCCCCTTGCCCAGGGCACCCAGAGCCAGGGGTCTGCCCTCCAGGACCCAGAGTGCTTCGCGCACCTGCTTCGGTTCTACGATGGCATCTGCAAATGGGAAGAAGGCAGCCCCACGCCGGTGCTGCACGTGGGCTGGGCCACCTTCCTGGTGCAGTCCCTGGGGCGCTTCGAAGGACAGGTGAGGGCAGCTGGGCAGGGTCCGAGGACGGGTGTGACGGCGGCACGGAGCAGCTGGAGCCTGGGCGGCCCTGAAGGGGTCTGCTCATCCTCTGGCCGCATGAGTCAGGCCTCAGCCACTGTCCGAGGCGGGTCCTGGGGATCCAGCCCTTCTGCCGCACCTGGCCCCCAGCCTGCTCTCCCTCTCGGGCCAGGTGCGGCAGAAGGTGCGGATAGTGAGCCGGGAGTCAGAGGCAGCTGAGACCGAGGAGCCCTGGGGCGAGGAAGCCCGGGAAGGCCGGCGGCGAGGCCCGCGGCGGGAGTCCAAGCCCGAGGAGCCCCCGCCGCCCAAGAAGCCGGCGCTGGACAAGGGCCCGGGCGCGGGGCAGGGCCTGGCCCCAGGACCCCCCCGGAAGCCCCCGGGGACGGTCCTGAGCAGTGCCCGCGGCCCCGAAGGCGGCAGCGCGGCTCCAGCGCCTGCGCCGTCCGCGTCGCCGCCCCCGGAGGGCCCGGTGCTCACTTTCCAGAGCGAGAAGATGAAGGGCATGAAGGAGCTGCTGGTGGCCACCAAGATCAACTCGAGCGCCATCAAGCTGCAGCTCACCGCGCAGTCGCAGGTGCAGATGAAGAAGCAGAAGGTGTCCACGCCCAGCGACTACACGCTCTCCTTCCTGAAGCGGCAGCGCAAGGGCCTCTGAGCTGCACCCCGGGCTCCCCGCCCGCCTGCGCGCGGAGCCAGTCCTGAGGCCCCGCCCCCGCAGAGGCCCCGCCCAGCTCCCCGCCCCAGCCAATGGGGCCCAGGCCCGGCCTCCGGGCCCCGCCCCACCCGGAACTGAGGCTCGGCCCGGACCGGAGTCAGACTCTCCCCCGCGCTCGGCATCGGAACGTAGAGCCCGTGCCCAGCTCCCCGCTGGCGATGGAAGCCTCGCCGGGACCCCATAAAGGCCCGGCCCCGGGGACTCGGCCCCACAGACCGAGGTTCCCCCCGCGGCAGGACCAGGGCTGCTCCGGGCGCGCTCAGCCCGGGCTGCGGTTTCTCCCGCAGGTCCCGCCTCCAGCCCGGGACCCGGGACCGGCTCGGAGAGCATTTCCCACCTCAGAATTATGTCCCTCGGGAACCCAAGCCCCCAACCCAAAGAATGAAAAAGGGGCGCTTCCAGAATTTGGAAATCCCAGCTTCCCCCCTTCCTATCCCATGAGTCCGGGTACGAAGCTCCTCTAGCCCGTGCGAACCCTGAGCCCCGCCGCCCCCCCCCTCCCACTGGCTCCGGATCAGAGCAGACCTCCCGCCCTCCGGGCACCCCAGGCCCCGCCGTCCGGGGCTCAGGGGGACTCCGCAGGGGCTTGCCTGATCTCCGTTTTGTACATAGATTTATTTTTCAGTTCCAAGGAAGATGAATACATTTTGTTAAAAAAAAAACAACAAAGTTGTCTGTTTTATTGGGAGTTTGGGGTGGGAGCGGAGTGCCCTCCCCTCTGCCCTCGGGCTCGCCTCCCCTAGGGCTGGGCCCCGGCGGCTCCGCGGGGCTCGGGGCTTCCCCTTCCTGCCCAGGGCCCGTCCCGCGGGCGCCTCCTCCCGGCCGGGCGGCGGGGCATCCCCGGCCTGTCCCCGCCCCGGCCCCGCCCCGCCCCAGCGGCCTCCGAGCCACCGGCGCCCGCCCCGCCCCGCCCCGCCCCGCGCCGCGCCGCCCGCGCCGGCTCCGGCTCCGCAGCTCGTCCTCCCGCCGCCGGCCGGCGGCGCGGGCCATGGCGCTGCTGCGGGACGTGTCGCTGCAGGACCCGCGGGACCGCTTCGAGCTGCTGCAGCGCGTGGGCTCCGGCACCTACGGCGACGTCTACAAGGTGCGCCGGCGGCCGGGCTGCGGGGGCGCGGAGGCGGCCGCTCCGAGCCCCGGCCGCGCGGGACCGGCCCCAGCCCCGCCCCCCATCCCGGCTGCTCTGTCCCCTCAGGCCCGCGACACCGCCACGTCCGAGCTGGCCGCGGTGAAGATCGTGAAGCTGGACCCAGGTGCGCCGGCCGGGCCTCCGCGGAGGAGGGGCAGGAGCCGGCGGCCGGGTGCGGGGCGGGCGGCCGGTGGACACTTCGGAGGCCCCCTGGGCGGGTCCCCGGGAGGCGGTGTCCCCTGCCCCGGGCTGGCCGGAGGGGGGCGGAGCTCAGAGGTGCTTGGAAGACCAGGGCGCCGAGTGAGGGCGCTCCCGCTGGGCTCCCCCCACCCACCATGCCCCGTGCTCCCCAGGGGACGACATCAGCTCCCTCCAGCAGGAAATCACTATCCTGCGGGAGTGCCACCACCCCAACGTGGTGGCCTACATTGGCAGCTACCTCAGGTGAGGCTGCTTCCCCTGCCCACCCCCCGCAGCCCCATGTGCCCCGCCGTGTGCCCACCGGCGCCGTGTCCCCCCAGGAACGACCGCCTGTGGATCTGCATGGAGTTCTGCGGAGGGGGGTCCCTGCAGGAGATTTACCACGGTGAGCCCAGGGCCAGGCCCCCAGGGCCATGGGCTGCTGCTGCTGCTGCTCTCCAGTCTGCTGCCCACCCGCCACCCCAACATGTGGCAGGAGGGGCGACCGGGGGCCCTCAGCTTCTCCCCATGGGCTGTGTGACCTTGAGGGAAATACTGCCTTTCCCGGGTTCGGTACCCCAGACCGCCTGTGGCTTCCTTGGTGGAGGGTGGCCGGGAGGGCCAGCATGCCCCCCAGACCTCCGTGCTGGCGCTTACCCCTTCCATTGCAGCCACGGGGCCCCTGGAGGAGCGGCAGATCGCCTACGTCTGCCGGGAGGCGCTGAAGGTAGCGAGGCCATAGGCTGCTCACTGCCCCACGCCCCGCGCTGTGGCCGGAGCCCAGCTGGCCAGTGTGGGGGGCGGGGTGCCTCCCGCAGGGCTGGCCTGAGGGGCTGTGGGTCCTGGGAGAAGGGCCCCAGCCCTGTTGCCGGAAGCAGCCCGTTTCCCTCTTGGCTCAGTCACTTCCTGTTTGGGGAGAGGGGAGGAGGAAGCGGCGTGGGTGGGGGGCCCAGTCCTCAGAGAGGGCTCAGGAAAGGTGGGATGTTGCTCTCAGGGCTCTTCTGTGTCCCCAGGGGCTGCACCACTTGCATTCCCAGGGGAAGATCCACAGGGACATCAAGGTAGGGTGTCTGGCCTGGGCCCTGGGGGAGGGCGAGGAGGAGCTCTCCAGAGCTCCAGGTGGGATTCTCGTCTCCATTCCTACAGGGCGCCAACCTCCTCCTCACCCTCCAGGGAGATGTCAAGCTGGGTCAGTACCCGGGGACACGGTCAGGGTGAGGGTCCTGTGGGAGCTCCTGGAAGTCTCAGAGCCTGCATTCAAGTGCTGGGTGTCCTTGGGCAAGTCACTCCACAGCTTGGGCCTCAATGTCCCCATCGAGGAAAGCGGAAGAGTCCTCCCTTCCTACTGTGTGTTGGATGTGGTTGGGGCCCACCATCTGGCCTGGCGCTTGGTCAGAGGTGGACGATGGTTGGCCTTCCCAGTAGGGGGCCCTGGCCTTGGCAGTTGTAGCTGAACTTGGCCAGCCTGTTGTCTGAACCCCACCCGCCAGGTGCATCCTGAGCCTGAGCCTCGGAGGTGGGTGGGGTGTGGCAGCCAGAGGGCGGGTCCCAGTAGCTCCCCCCACCCCCCCTCCGCAGCTGACTTTGGGGTATCCGGCGAGCTGACGGCATCTGTGGCTAAGAGGCGGTCTTTCATTGGGACTCCATACTGGTGAGGCTGCACCTCAGGCTGAGGGGAGAGGGGCCATGGGGGGGGGGTCGCCAGCCACCCCATCTGTGACCCCGCCTCTAGGATGGCCCCGGAGGTGGCCGCCGTGGAGCGCAAAGGTGGCTACAATGAGCTGTGTGACGTCTGGGCGCTGGGCATCACGGCCATTGAGCTGGGCGAGCTGCAGCCCCCCCTGTTCCACCTGCACCCCATGAGGTCAGCCGAGCACGAGCCCCCTGCCTGACCCCCGGGGCCCTGTTGACCCTCGGCCCCTGACCTTTCGCTCTCCGCAGGGCCTTGATGCTCATGTCCAAGAGCAGCTTCCAGCCGCCCAAGCTGAGGGACAAGACGCGCTGGTGAGGCCATGGTCCTTGCTGGTCCCCTCCTCGGTCAGTCCTCGGGGGAGTAGGGGAGCCACCTGCCAACTCCCAGGGGCAGCCTCAGGAGCCTGCCCCCTGGCATCCTCAGACCATCCGTGGGAGGGCCTGGGCTGCAGCTCGGGGCCAGGGCTGGTGTGGGCAGTGGCTGTTGATGTCACAACAGCCGTATTGCTCAGGCCGGCTGCCCTGGCCGCGGGCTGGCCCTCTCCCGGCAGGCCCAGCGGGCTCTGGAGTGGCAGCAGGGGGCAGTTGGCAGGATGCCTGCATGAGGGCCGACCTGGGCCTGGGGGCTCTTGTGTCCACTAGGACTCAGAATTTCCACCACTTCCTCAAGCTGGCCTTGACCAAGAACCCCAAGAAGAGGCCAACAGCAGAGAAGCTTCTGCAGGTGGGAGGCAGGGGGTGGGGCCGGGGCTCAATGCGTGAAAGCAGGGCTGGGGGCCAGAGACCAACCTGAGCCCACCTCCATCCGCCAGCACCCCTTCACCACACAGCAGCTCCCCCGGGCTCTCCTCACACAGCTGCTGGACAAGGCCAGTGACCCCCAGCTGGGCGCCCTCTCCCCGGAGGACTGTGACGTGGAGGTGAGTGGAGCTGGGGATGGGGTCTTGGCCTGGCCTGGTTGTAGGGCCAGGTGATTCAGGTCAGGGTCCCTTTAACTTGACTATTTCCAGCCTAAGGAGCTCCCCTCCAGGCGAGCCACCCATTAGGCCTCTTCCCTGAGCCAGCCTGGCCTCCTGTGCTGCCCCTTGACCCAGGTGCCTGCCCTTGACCCCGGCTGGCCATGACCCAGGCTGACCATGACCTTGCCCAGCCATCCTCTGCTTTCTGTGTGCTCTTGGGCCAGTTATTCGCTCCTGTGGCTGGTTTTCTTGGTTATGAAGTGAAGGTGCCTCTTAGTCTCAGGATGGTCTCCGGGTTTGTGTGTGAGCACACGGCGGTGGTGTGCGGGGCGCTGGGCGTGTGTCCACTGTGTGTGTTCTTCCTTAGACTTACGACATGTTTCCAGACACCATTCACTCCCGCGGTCAGCACGGCCAGGCCGAGAGGACCCCCTCGGAGATCCAGTGTAAGTCCGGGGCGGGGGCGGGGCTGTGTGCGGATTTTCTGGGGGCTGTGTGCGGATTTTCTGGGGGCTGTGTGTGGATTTTCGGGGGGGCTGTGTGTGTGGATTTTCTGGGGGGCTATGTGTGGATTTTCTGGGGGCTGTGTGTGTGGATTTTCTGGGGGGCTATGTGTGGATTTTCTGGGGGCTGTGTGTGGATTTTCTGGGGGGCTGTGTGCGGATTTTCTGGGGGCTGTGTGTGTATTTTCGGGGGGCTGTGTATGTGTATTTTCGGGGGGGCTGTGTGTGGATTTTCTGGGGGCTGTGTGTGGATTTTCTGGGGGGCTGTGTGCGGATTTTCTGGGGGCTGTGTGTGTGTATTTTCGGGGGGGCTGTGTGTGTGTATTTTCGGGGGGGCTGTGTGTGGATTTTCTGGGCGGCTGTGTGTGTATTTTTGGGGGGGCTGTGTGTGTGTGTATTTTCGGGGGGGCTGTGTGTATTTTCGGGGGGGCTGTGTGTGTATTTTCGGGGGGGCTGTGTGTGTGTGTATTTTCGGGGGGCTGTGTGTGTGTATTTTCGGGGGGCTGTGTGAGTGGATTTGTTATGAGTGTGAGGCTAAGTCCTGAGTCTGCCTTCCCCCCTAACCTGTGTACACTGGCACCCAGTTCACCAGGTGAAGTTTGGCGCCCCCCGCAGGAAGGAGACGGACCCGCTCCCGGAGCCGGTGAGGCTGGCTGTGCGGGAGGGGTGGGGGGGGCTGGGTGCGGGCTGGAGGGCGAGCCTCTCATCAGAGGGTCTTTGAGGCGCTGGCCCTGGGGCTGGGACAGCTGCCCAAGCAGGTGTGTCCTGCCGGGGTCAGGGGAGGCCGGGGCTTCCCCAGGGCCCGGTCCTGGACGGTCATGGGGAACCGGGCCAGGTGACCACCCCTTTCCAAAAAGCGGGCCCCCACCCACCCTGTCAGCACATCCCTCTGCCCCAGTCTGCCTGTCACTGACTCAGTCTCTGCTGCCTCGCTGTCAGCATCTCGTCACTCCCTCAGCCAGAGTCTCTCTGCCCTGCTCCGCCTCCTTCTCCTCCTCTCTCACAATCTCTTTGCCTCTCATTGTCCCCCCCCCCCCCGCCTCTCCCATTCTTGCAAGCCTCTCGCCTATTGCTGTCTCATTTTCCATCTGTCCATCTGCTCTCTCTCCCACAACCTCTTGACCGCCCTCTCACGTAGCCTTTCTGCCTCTCCCCCATCTTTCTGACTCGGTTTCCCGCAGTGGGAAGAGGAGTGGACCCTGCTGGGAAAGGAGGAGCTGAGTGGGTGAGTGAGGGAGAGGGGAGCTGCGGGGAGGGTTGGGGGCCGCAGAGATGGCTGCACGCTGAGCTCCCCCCTTTCCCCCGCCAGGAGCCTGCTGCAGTCCGTCCAGGAGGCCCTGGAGGAGAGGTGAGGGCTGGGCCTGGAGGCGGGGGCAGCCGGAGGGCCGGCCACATCTCACACCTCCTTTCCCTCCGATTCCCCCTCAGGAGCCTGACCATCCGGCCAGCCTTGGAACTGCAGGTGCGGGTGGAGGGGAGCTGGAGCGGGGTGGGCACAGTGCTGTGGAGGGTGCAGCGGGGTGGGACCCGTTTACAAGGGGACCTGCTGACAGCTGGGATGCCCCCCCAGGAGCTGGACTCCCCAGACGATGCCATGGGAACCATCAAGCGGGCCCCGTTGGGGCCGGCCCCCCATGAGCCGCCAGCTGAGTCCCCTCTGACCAGCCCCCCAGGTGAGGCCCAGCTCAGGGACCGGGAAGCAGGTCCGGGCTGGAGGGTTGGGGGGGGGGGGGAGGCTGGCCTGGAATTTGCCCTGGACTGTGCTTGCAGGAACCCCACCCCGACCCCTCCCGGGCTCCGACAGCCCCCCGCCTCTCCCCACCGCCTGGGCCACCATGAAGCACCGGGAGGATCCTGAGGTGAGGGGGCCACAGAGGGACGGGGAGAGGGGAGGCGGGGGGCACACGGTCCTGACTCCGCCTTCCCTCCCAGAGATCGTCCTGCCATGGGCTGCCCCCGACCCCCAAGGTGCACGTAAGTGTCCGCCCGCCCCCTGCAGCCCGCAGCCCCGCCGCCTGCCCACCGCCCGCCACCCGCCGCCCTGCGCGTCCTCACAGCCTCTCGCCTCCGCAGATGGGAGCCTGCTTCTCCAAGGTCTTCAACGGCTGCCCCCTGCGGATCCACGCTGCTGTCACCTGGATTCACCCCGGCACCCGGGGTAGGTGGGGGCAGGGAGGACGCAGGAGCCAGGGGGTCCCCAGCCTGGGCCAGGGCTCCTGACCTCTGACCCCAGGCTCAAACTGCAGACCAGTTCCTGGTGGTGGGCGCCGAGGAGGGCATCTACACCCTCAACCTACACGAGCTGCACGAGGACACCCTGGAGAAGGTGGGGCCGGCCGGCTGAGGGGGCAGAGGGCAGAGGGCAGAGGGCAGAGGCCGGGAGGGGGAGGGGCGGGGTGCTGACCGCCTGTCCGGCTGTCGCTCTATGGCCCGCAGCTGATCTCACACCGCTGCGCCTGGCTCTACTGCGTGAATAACGTGCTGCTGTCACTCTCAGGTACGCGGGGGACAGGCGGAGGGGGGCCGCCGGGACCCCCTGCCCGCCCGCGCTCAGCCCCTCCCTCCTCGGCAGGGAAATCCACGCACATCTGGTCCCACGACCTCCCGGGCCTCTTCGAGCAGCGGCGACTGCAGCAGCAGGTCCCCCTCTCCATCCCCACCAACCGCCTCACCCAGCGCATCATCCCCAGGTGGGCCCCCCCGGGGACCTCCGATCTGAGACCTGCTGTGACTTAGACGTGTCCCTTTGCCTCTCTGAGCCTGTTTCCTCACCCGTCCGTGCGGGAGAGCCTCCCTCCCCTGACCCGGCTGCTGGCAGCGAGAAGGAAGTGGTGGGTGTGACGCCGCTTTGCGGACTGGGGGAGCGTGGTTCTGAGGACGCGGGGCAGAGGTCTGCTGAGCGCTCAGTCCGCGCGAGGCCTCAGGCTGGGCTTGGAGACTAGGATCGAACAAGTCAGTCCTGGGACTCAGTGCCTGGCGCTGAGCTGAGCTGGAGGTGGGGGCGGGAGGGGCACAGAGGCCTTCCTGGCGGAGGGAAGAGCAGGTGCGAACGCAGGCCCCCGGGAGGCACGTGGAGTGGCCGAGAGGACGCTGCCCAGGTGGCGGGTGGCAGAGCTCCCTTTGATGCCAGGCAGGATCGGGGCTTCGTCCAGCGGGCAGCAGGACCGTGGCCGTGGGAGAAGGACCCTCTGTCCATCGGAGGGAGGGAGGGCTGCTGCCGAGCTGTGTGCGCAAGGGCTTTACGGAATCACTCTGGCTGCTGAGCATAGACTAGAGGGGAGGAGGCTGGAGCAGGAGGCCTGTCAGGGGGCCATTGACATCATCAGACGGGGGCTGGGGTAGCAGGGAAAGAAGTGACACGTGGTTGGACTCTGGCTTTAATTTGAATGTTGAATGATGGGATTTTCTGACAATTGGTGAATGGATGGGAGAGAGGAGGAAGGTTCCCGGCTGGGCAGTGGGAAGGATGGAGCTGTCATCACTCAGAGTTCCATGTTGTCACGCTGAGTCTGACACCTGCAAGCGGGGCCTCTGCCGGCTGTTGGCAGAGCGAGTGGAGGCTCGAGAGGGCGGCCGGGCCGTGGGCTTAGCTGTTGCTGTGACCGGGTGCTGGTGGTGCCTGTGGGCCAGGCGGGGAGGCAGGCCAGTGGCTCCACAGCTGGGCAGACGCCCTGCCTGCAGCAGGCTCCCGCCGGGACCTGCGGACACAGGCCCAGGGGCGCCCCGGGCCACAGGCAGGCGGGTGTGATGGGAAATCACGGAGTCACAGTGTCCGTTTCCAATGTGAAGAGCGGAGAACCAGAATCGCTTGGAGAAAAGAATCAAACACAAAAACATCTGCTGAGGCCAGTTGAGCAAGAGAGTGGGAGGAACCAGGGGAGAGAGGAGTGAGGACAGAGGCAGAGAGAGGCAGGCAGGCAGGCCTTGGCTTCCTTAGCGGGGCCTGCGTCCTGGCTCAGAACGTCCCTGGGGGGCTGAGGGGACAGATTAACCAAGGCAAGGACCCGCTTCTTCCCGCACCAAGGAGAGCCAGCACTGGCCGCACCGGGCCGCGGCCTCGGCTGGAACAGCGGGGCGCGGGCCGGGTGCCTTCTCCCCCCAGAGCCTTCATCTCTGGGCCGAGGGCTCCTCCATGGCCGGGCCTGAGGGGCGGGTGGAGTGAGCACCGCCTGCGGGTGGGGCTGGAGGTGCGGCCTCGGCCTCTCTTGTTTATTTCTCTGTGTTCAGTGATGGAAGCAGGGGGGACAGTGGTAACACAGGTGAGAACAGCCAGCCTCTGCTGTGTCCACTCACTGAATCCTCACTGGGACCCTACGAGGTGTGTGTGGGGGGCCATCATCCCATTCTACAGATGAGGAGATCGAGGCATGGAGAGGTTCAGTGACTTGCTCAGTCACATGGTTGGAGGTGATGCTGGGATCTGGACCCCTGCACTGGACAGACTCCCGGCTGTGGAGGTGGGAGCTGGAGCCATGAGACTGGCTTTGGCTCCCGTGCCTTGCACAGCCGCGGCTCCCAGCCAGGTGCTGCGTCTCTGAGCTTAGCCGCGTCCCTGTGAGGCAGAGAAGAGAGCACCCGCCTCCTTGGGCTCTGTCGGGGCCTCTCCAGTGATGCGTGCCCTGGCTGTCGTCCCCACAGGCGCTTTGCACTGTCCACCAAGATTCCGGACACCAAAGGCTGCCTGCAGTGCCGCGTGGGTAAGAGCCGGGCTGCGCGCTCCGGGGCGGGTCTGGGCGCGGGCCCAGCGTGCCCACCGCCCGCCTCTCTTGCAGTGCGGAACCCCTACACGGGCAGCACCTTCCTGCTGGCCGCCTTGCCCGCCAGCCTGCTCCTGCTGCAGTGGTACGAGCCGCTACAGAAGTTCCTGCTGCTGAAGGTGTGGGGCGGGGGGGGGGGGGGGGGAGAAGGGGAGCAGCAGGGGGAGCCACGGGGGCCCTCCAGCAGGGATGGGGGGGCTGGGGGAAGAAATGAAGACCCGAGCACCCCTGCTGCCCCCAGAACTTCTCCAGCCCCTTGCCCAGCCCAGCCGGGATGCTGGAGCCGCTGGTCCTGGAGGGGAAGGAGCTCCCGCAGGTGTGTGTGGGGGCCGAGGGCCCCGAGGGGCCCGGCTGCCGCGTCCTGTTCCACGTCCTGCCGCTGGAGGCCGGCCTGACCCCTGATGTGCTCGTACCGCCTGGTAAGCAGGAGGCGGGTGGCTGTGTGTGTGTGTGTGTGCGCGCGTGTGTGCGCGTGCGTGTGTGCGTGTGCGCGCGCCCACAGGCACCTCCAGGCCCTGAGCGCCCAGCCTCCTTGCAGCCGCGCTCCCTAAAAGATTGCCTTAGACCCGTGGTCGGCAAACTCATGAGTCAGCAGAGCCAAATATCAACCGGACGACGATTGAAATTTCTTCTGAGAGCCACATTTTTTAAACTTAAGCTTCTCCTAACGCCACTTCTTCAACATAGACTGGCCCAGGCCGTGGTGTTTTGTAGAAGAGCCGCCCTCAAGGGGCCAAAGAGCCACCTGTGGCTCACGAGCCGCAGTTTGCCGACCGCGGCTTTAGACCAAAGGGCTTGGCAACTAAGAGAAACCGGCCAGCACCGCGGGCGCCGCGGGCACCGGCGAGCCGCGCAGGCTGGGCTCGGAGGCTCCACTCTGAGCAGGAAGCGGGACACGTGGTGGGCCTCACGGGGCGGAGGGAGCGGCAGAGGCTGAACAGAGGCCGGGCCGAGTCCCAGGCTCCGAGCCAGGGTCTAACGCACAGGATTTCACTCTTGATCCCACGATGGCCCTGCAAGGTTGGCATCGTCGTGCCTGCGTTAGGGGTGAGGAGACCGAGGCTGAGTCCCCCAGCCTGGCTCCGGGCCCCGCCCTCCCCACGCCCAGCTGTCAGGGGGGTGGGCGGCCTCACCCGCCCAGGTTGTGCGAACGGAAGGCCTTGTGGCCAAGAGCTGCCCGAGGCTGTCCCCGGGTCCTCTTGGGGCCCCAGCAGGGCCGGAGGCTCACGTCTCCCTCCTCTGCCGCAGAGGGGCTCCCAGGCTCCGCCCAGCAGGTGGTCCAGGTGGACAGGGACACGGTGCTGGTCTGCTTTGACCGTGAGTGCCCGGGGTTAGGGCTCCGGGTGGTGAGGGAGGCCGGGAGGGAGCCACCATCCCTGCTCACCAGCCCCTCCCCGTGCAGGCTGCGTGAGGATCGTCAACCTGCTGGGCGAGCCTGCGGCCACCCTGGCTCCCGTGCTGACCTTTGACTTCCCCATTGAGACTGTGGGTGAGTGAGCCAGACAGGCGGGGCTGGAGCACCCCGGGCCTTTAGCCGGCAGCAGGACAAGGCGTCAGGTCCCCCAGCCCCTCTGAAGGGCCATCCTGGTCACCTCGGTCAGGGAAGCCCGCATCTCAGGGCAGGCCCGCCCCTCCCAGTGTGTCTGCAGGACAGCGTGCTGGCCTTCTGGAGCCACGGAATGCAGGGCCGCAGCCTGGACACCAACGAGGTGAGTGGACTCGGGAACCGAACCGGCTGCCCCTGACCAGCAGAGGGCCAGTGGCCTCAGCGTCCCTTTCCTTCCAGGTGACCCAAGAGATCACGGATGAGACGAGGGTCTTCCGGGTGCTTGGGGCCCACAGGTAGGACATGCGCTCGGCCTCCCGCTCAGAGGCCCCGAGGCCAGGTGGCCGTGCCCGGGTGTCTGCCGCCCAGCTCACCGCCGCCTCTCCCTGCAGAGACATCATCCTTGAGAGCATTCCCACCGACAACCCTGGGGCTCACAGCAACCTCTACATCCTCACCGGCCACCAGAGCAGCTACTGAGCGCGGGGCCCGCCAGAGGCACCCCCTCCCCACGCCTTGGCTGCAGCCCAGCCCGCTTAGGCAGAGGGAGCCCAGGCCCGCGCTGCTGGGCTGAGGGGCAGAGGTAATCCTGAGAAGTCGGGGGGCTGCGGAGGGAGGAGAGCCCTCCCACACCCCTGCAATAACTGGACCAGAGGAAGCTGCTGTCACTCCCCTCCCCTCCAGCAGCCCGGGGCCCGTGCCCCATGGCAGAGGCCCTGTAGGGCGGGGCAGGCCCTGGACGATCCATTCCATGTTTCCCATTTCCTTTCCATCCTCCTGCCGAGAGCCTGCCCCGCCCCCGCCCCTGTCCCGGGAACATACTATTTAAGAGAGAAAACTATATTGGTATTAAAGCTGGTTTCACTTTATTCCATGGTCCTTGTGGGTCAGGGGACCGAAGCCCACGCCTCACTTCCCTCCGCCTCCCCCCTCCCCCCAGCACGTCTTTCTGTGGCACCGGTGCTGGGGGTGCACCGTGGTGGGGGCGGGCCCAGTGTGAGCGGCTCCCCTGGGTGCAGACCTCAGTGACGGGGAGGCCGGTGCTGGGGTGCACCGTGGGGAGGGGGTGCGTTGTGGGGAGGGGGTGCACCGTGGTGGGGGCGGGCCCAGTGTGAGCGGCTCCCCTGGGTGCAGACCTCAGTGACGGGGAGGCCGGTGCTGGGGTACACCGTGGGGAGGGGGTGCGTTGTGGGGAGGGGGTGCACCGTGGTGGGGGCGGGCCCAGTGTGAGCGGCTCCCCCCGGGGTGCAGACCTCAGTGACAGGGAGGCTGGTGCTGGGGTGCACCGTGGGGAGGGGGTGCACCGTGGTGGGGGCGGGCCCAGTGTGAGCGGCTCCCCTGGGTGCAGACCTCAGTGACGGGGAGGCCGGTGCTGGGGTGCACCGTGGGGAGGGGGTGCGTTGTGGGGAGGGGGTGCACCGTGGTGGGGGCGGGCCCAGTGTGAGCGGCTCCCCCCGGGGTGCAGACCTCAGTGACAGGGAGGCTGGTGCTGGGGTGCACCGTGGGGAGGGGGTGCACCGTGGTGGGGGCGGGCCCAGTGTGAGCGGCTCCCCTGGGTGCAGACCTCAGTGACGGGGAGGCCGGTGCTGGGGTGCGTTGTGGGGAGGGGGTGCACCGTGGTGGGGGCGGGCCCAGTGTGAGCGGCTCCCCCCGGGGTGCAGACCTCAGTGACGGGGAGGCTGGTGCTCCCAGGAGGCACCGGGCCCGGTCTTTCTGGGTCTCCTTGCTCAGGATGAGCCTCGGCCTCGCAGTGTGACAAGGGCATGTAGCTGGGAGGCTGTGAATGAGGCGCTCTCTCTGGAGCAGCCCTGCCCGGGTGGGCTCACCAGGCAGCCGGGGCCAGGAGGGGCCGGCCGGGGGCCGCTCCACCCAGCCCCGGAGGCCTGTGGAGCCGCTGCCATGACCGGTATTTCCTGCCCCGGCCTGGCTGCCTCCTGCCTCCCACCTGGTGCCAGACCTCGGAGTGTGGGCACCACCATCAGGCTGCACTTGGGAAGATTAGCCAGTGTCCACTGAACAAGAATTCCCAGAGGGCCTTCCAGGGCCAGGCCTGGGGCTCACAGAGGGCTGCTCGGAGCCCAGGACCAGCCCCATAGCGGGGGTATTTATGCGTATGTGAGAGTCAGCTGTGCTTCCTTCTCCTGTGACGCCACCGCGACACTGCGCCCTGCTGCATCCCGCCCGGGGATGTGACCAAAGAAAAGGCATCGGTAGCATCCTGGTTCTTAGGAGAGTGAAGGTTCCATTCCCAGTCAGGGCATTTCTTTCTCTCCCTCTACTTTCTTTATTAAAAATCAATAAAGCCCTAACCGGTGTGGCTCAGTGGATAGAGCATTGGCCTGAGGACTGAAGGGTCCCAGGTTCCATTCCTGTCAAGGGCATGTGGGCACATTCCCAGTAGGAGGTGTGCAGGAGGCAGCTGATGGATGTTTCTAACTCTCTATCCCTCTCCCTTCCTCTCTGTAAAGAAATCAATAAAAATACTTTAAATAAATAAAAAAAAATAAAACCTGTCTTGGAGAGCTTTCCATGATCAGTGCCTCCTACTTCTTTTTTTGTTAATAGACAGTGGTATTCCATTGTAAAGGTTTCCGTGATGTGCTAACTTACTGTAATTAGGCTGATGGGAGTTTGTTTCTACTACTTTGGAATTAAAACGATGCTGCAGTAAATATGCCGAGTGTCACTGGCATATTCAAGGGTCCATTAGGACACTTCCTGGGTGGCACAGCAGGGTCACAGTGGCCGTCCTGGGACAGCCCCCGTCTAATTGCCCTCCCTGGGCAGGCCTCTGGGATGGGTTAGACCGGCCTCTCAGCCATTCCAGGGGGAGTGCAGGAGTGTGGGCAGCCCACACCCCAGCCTCCTGAGGGTCGGAGAGGTGACTACCAGAAAGTGGCCATGTTCACGGCCTCGCCAGCCCCTGGTCCCGGCCCGCTGCATGCTTTTTGCGGGAAGGGAAGGAATGAGCGTGTTGTGAAGGGGGGGCCCTGGGGTCAGGCCCCTGGACCCCATTTTCCTGGGTGTATCCTCTCTAAGTGCCTGCAGGGCTTGTAGGAAGATTGAAAATACCCTATACACCAAATGCAATAACACAGATGCATCTTATAGAGGTAATGCCGAATTAAAGCAACAAATTGCATAAAACTGCACACAGTATTACAGTAAAACTAAACTTTGTATTGTTTGGTGACGAACTTGATAAATCAAGTCAGAAGAAGAAAAAGCACAAAATGCAAAATGCTGGTCCCTGTGAGGGGAGGGAGGGTGGGGAAGGCAGGACCCCAGGAATTTGCAGAAGGCACTGGTAACACCCTGGCTCTCGGACGGGTGTCTTCAGGGCATCCCATGTATAACTGTTTCCTACTCACCTGAGGCGCACACATCCTTTTGTATGTACCAAATACTATGTAATGAAAGATTAGGTTGAAAAGTGTCAAAGTAATCACACAAAAATCAAAGCCCTATAATGGTTTAAAAAACGGAAACAAAAAGCCAAGATAACCCTCTCCTCCACAGGGACCTCAAGTGGAGATGATGGAAGGGTGGGCAGGTCTTTCCCAGCTATTGCTTCTATCATTTCTTTAAAATAAATAAGTTTTATTGATTTTTACAGAGAGGGAGAGAGAGAGAAACATCCATCAGCTGCCTCCTGCACACCTCCTCCTGGGGATGTGCCTGAAACCAAGGTACCTGTCCTTGAACGGAATGGAACCTGGGACCTTTCAGTCTGCAGGCCGATGCTCTATCCACTGAGCCAAACCTGTTAGGGTTATTGTTTCTTTTAAAAACAGCTTTTTGGAGGAAGAGTTGGCATACAATAAACTGCATGTATTAAAATGAGCTATTTGATGACTTCAACACACAGGCACCACACCCGTGAAACCCTTACCGCAATCAAGATAAACATCTCCATCCCCCAAAAGCTTCCTCCTAGTCACACCACCTGCTCTTCACCTCCCCGTGCCCCTGACCACTGGTCTGCTGTCAATAGAGATGAGTTTGAATTTTGCAAAATTTATATAAAGAGAATCATACAATGTATTCTGTTCCTCTCTGGCTTCTTTCACTAAGCACAATTATTTTGAGTTTCATCCATGTTGATCCATGTAGTAATTAGCAGCCACTTGTTGCTAAGCAGAATTCCACTGCATGGGGATGGACCAGTGCGTTTGGCTAGTCACCTGGTGAACATGTGGGCTGCTTCCAGTTTGGGACTGTTACAAACGAAGCGGCTATGGGAGTTTTGTTTTGTTTTTTAGTTGTCTTTGGCTTCTTGCACTGAGAGAGGATCTGTTCTGGAGCCCCCCCTGCTCCAGAGAGAGGGGGAAATAAATAAATAAATAAATAAAGCGACATTGATTTCGGAGAGGGAGAGATAGAAACATCATTGAGAATTATTGATCAGCTGCCTCCTACACACACACCTGCTGCTAGTGATTGAGCCCGCAACTCAGGCAGGCTTCTAGGTCAGGCGGTATGGGTTAACGGCTTTTCAAGGCTGCCTAATTCCAGGTTATGTATATTTCAATTTGTTGAACCATTCACACACATATCTTTTTGTTTGTTAATCCTCACCCGAGGATACTTTTCCATTGATGTTTAGAGAGAGTGGAAGAGGGAAAGACAGAAATATCGATGTGAGAGAAACACATAAATTAATTGCCTCCTACACCAAGGCCTAGGCTGGGGAGGAACTGAGGTACGTGCCCTTGACTGGAATCAAACCTGGGACCCTTTGGTCAACAGATTGACGCTCTATCCACTGAGCCAAACTGGCTAGGGCCACAATGTATCTTTTTTTTTTTTTTTTAATATGTAACGCTTCATGAATTTGCATGTCATCCTTGTGCAGGGGTCACGTTAATCTCTATATCGTTCCAATTTTAGTATACGTGCTGCCAAAGCGAGCACACAATATATCTTTTTAATATATTTTTATTGATTTCAGAGAGGTAGTGAGGAGAGAAACATCAAAGATAAGAAAATCATTGATCTGCATGTCCCCCACTGGGGATGGAGCCCACAACCCAGGCATGTACCCTGACGGGTATCAAACGGTGACTTCCTGATTCACAGGTCAATACACAACCTCTGAGCCACACTGGCTTGACAACCACTCATATATATATATTTTAATATATATAATTTATTGATTTCAGAAAGAGAAACATCAATTTGATGAGCATCATTGATCAGCTGCCTCCTGCTTGCCCCTACTAGGCATGGAGCCCACAACCAGGCATGTCCTATAAATGCAGAGGACAACACATTACTTGACACAATCACAGGCGCTGCTTTGGGGGCAGATTCCCCAGAGAGGGGTTGCTTTATTGAAATTGTTTATTTTCCTTGAAAGATATATACTTTTTAAATATAATCCTCACCTGAGGATATTTTTTCAGGGAGGGAGGAAGGAAAGGAGGGAAACACCATTGTGAGACACATTGATTCCACAGAGTCCTGACCGAGGGTGAACTTGCAGTCCAAGTATGTGCCCTGGTCTGGAAATTGAACCTGCGACCCTTTAGGGCCCGGCGGATGCTCTGTCCACTGAGGCACAACAGACAGGAAGGGGTGCAATTTCAATAGCCAACAGAATGCTTTCCAAAAAAGACCTTCTTACTAGTGTCAGCACATTTGTCTTCTGCTCTTTTAATGATTATAGAAAGAGAGCCTTCATTATCACCTTAATTTGCATTTCCCTGCTAACAGTGTCTCTTTCACATTTTTTGGCTATTTGGACTTGCTTTTCTGAAACTTGACTATTTGTAGTCTTTTCAAAAATTAGTTTTTCCCTGGCTAGGCAGCTCAGTTGGTTAGAATGTTGTCTGGGTAGACCAAGGTGCAGGTTCCATCCCCAGTCAGGGGACATACGAGAAGCAGCCAATGGCTCACTCGGGTGTGGCTCAGTAGTTGAGGATCCATAAGCCAAGAGGTCAAATTTGGATTCCTAGTCAGGGCACATAACCAGGTTGTGGGCTTAAACCCCAGTAGGGGCATGCAGGAGGCAGTAGATGGATGAGTCTCATCATTGATGTTTCTATCTCTCTTTCCCCTCTCCCTTCCTCTGAAATAAAAAACAAGAACCCAATGAATGTAAATAATTGGAACAAGTTGATGTTTCTCAAATCAATAAAAACTAGGAAAAATTATTTTTTAAGACTTCTTTGCATATTAAAGATATTAACTATCAGGTGTGGCAACTGTTTTTGTGAATTATTGTCTGTTGACTTTTATCATAGTTTCCATGTATTTGGTAATCAAGTATATCTTTTCTTCATAGTTTGAAGTCCGTCTTCATCAACTCTCTACTCCTGCATAACCCTGACAGCCTAAATGGTTTTACTGTTTCTATTCAGGACCGTATAACATTAGCTAAAGCTTTTCCTCACTGAACTGAATACCACCTTTGTGGTATTTTTACCCATAAAAGGGGAATCTATTTCAGGACTGTTTCACTGATGTCATTCCTATATCACATTAACTATTGTATTTTATACTGTATAGTACTATCTGGAAAGGAAAGTCCCTCCTCAACCTTGTTTACAAGTTTCCCCACTATCTTCTCAAATGACTTTAAGATGATTTAACAAACCACAAGATGGGAGTCTAATGGGATTACATATTTGTAAACTCATTTCAGAATTGACAAGTTTACGCTCTTTTCCACCTAAGCTTATATGTTCCATCAGCTCAGATTTTTAATCCTTCAATTAGGGTCTACTTTATAGCGACTTCTCTCTATTTTTTTCAAAGAAAACACGATATCCTTTTCTACCTGTGGTGTCAACGGATCCCTTTTACCGACACGGCCCGGACCCGCCCCCCGACCCCGGTTCCGGGTTCCGAGGGGATCGAGGATTGACGTCACTTAGGGTTTACGCTCCGGCCCCGGGAACGAAGGTGAAACGAGGGGCGGAGAGGCGACTTTGCTCAGTCTACGCATGCGCACTCCTCCCCCGCCGTAAATCTCATTGGCCGCGGCTTTTCCGCCGCGACAGCCAATCTCAGGGCGCGACGACGCAACCGAGTTTGATTCCATCAAGTCCAGCCAATGAGAGCGCGCCTGCAGCCTACGTCACAGTCTGTCCCACCCTAAGCCCTCCTTCCTGGACTCGGAGCTCAGTCCGCGCAGCAACAAATGAAGTGCGCGCTGCGACACCTCCCAGCTCTCCGGGCTCGGCCGCCATTTCCTCGCCAGGCCTAACGGTCCGGCCAATCCCAGCGCACAGCGAGAAGGACGGAAGCTCCGCCAATCGGAGGCCGCCGATCCGACCCTTCGCCTCAGCCCGGCCCAATCCAGGCTCCGGCCCGTCGCCCCCGGCCCGCCCCTGTGGCGCCCTCTCTCCTCCCTCTTTGTGCGTCTCGCGCCGCCGCCGCCGCCCGCCGCGTGAGAGGAAGGGCTCCGCGCGTTCCGCGGCAACGCAGTCGAGTCCCCTCCCCCCGGAAGGTTCGCTAAGGAGAAGCCGCCGCCGAAGAGGAGCCGCCGGTGCGGGTCCCCGGGGGCGCCATGGCTACCGGAGCGAATGCCACGCCGCTGGGTAAGCTGGGCTCCCCCGGCCTTCCCTCCCTTCCCGGGCCTAAAGGGAGCTTCGAGCCGGTGCCACCGCCTGTCCCCGGGCCTGGGGCGGGGCTGCTGGTGCCCGGGCCGCCGCCTCCTCCGCCCGTGGGGGCCCTGACCGCGGCCTTCCCCTTCGCGGCGCTGCCTCCTCCTCCACCTCCGCCTCCCCCCCCGCCGCCGCCGCCGCCACCGCCGCCGCCCTCCCCGGGCGCCTCGTACCCGCCGCCGCAGCCGCCCCCTCCGCCGCCGCTCTACCAGCGCGTGTCGCCGCCACCGCTGCCGCCACCCCCGCCGCCGCGTCAGGACCAGCAGCCGGGCCCGGCCGGCGGCGGAGGAGGAGGTGAGTCGGGCCGAGAGAGTGCGAAAGGCGTCGCGAGAACGGGCCCGGCCAGCTGAGGGGCGCGCGGCGGCGGCGACGGCGACGGCTGCACGCGGCAGGGGCGCGCGCGCGCGCGCGCACGGGGAGGCCCAGGCGGAGGCGCCACGGGGCGCGCAGCCTGTTTCTTGCACCTCGAGTGCGCACGCGCGCCGGGGAGCAGGCGTGGGGGGGCGCTGAGCGGGAGGCTTGCTGTGCGCAGGCGCAGTGCGCTGCCGGGCTGTGTGGCCCGAGTAGAAGCTGGGGCGGGGGTCCCCCCAGTAGCTCTCTAGCCCCAGGTGTAGGGGGGAGGTGTGGAGGGGTCGAGTGGGTGGATTGGGTTCTGGGTGTGCCTGTCCGGAGGGTGTGGAAGAGTTAAGTCGTGACGTGGAGCACCTTACCGGTCGTAGAGGAGGCTGAGGGAGAAAAGGACCAAGAAGAGCTATTTGGACTGTACGGCAGGGTCTTCCCTGCGGAGAACGGAGGAGTTGCACGTCTCCAGGACATTGTTGGCTCATATCTTGTGGCTCTTTGGGGGTGGGGGGGATTCTGTTTTCTAGTTGGGGCTTTGCTCTGGAGCCTGGGCCCCCTGGGAAGTAGGATGATTTGTGTGTACCAAAGGTGTAGGGAATTTACGCTTATGTGTCAAGGAAGAAAGGTTTCGCTATTATAGTTTGTTCTTTTTTAAAACTTTTATTAAGAGAGGGAGGGAGAGAAAGAGAAACATTGATCTGTTTGCCTCGCCTATGACCTGGGCTGGGGATTGAACCTCCGCATGAGTGACTCCAACCACTGAGCCACTCTGGCGAGGGATTTTTTCTTTTCTTTTAACTTTAGGTGTCAGACACTGTACAAATGGCCAGGAAAGTTGCTGGTCTCAACCAATCTTTTGAAGAAAAAAAGTAGTCTATAGGGGGTGGGGGAGAAAAGGAGGAAAAAGGGAAAGGAGACGTGTAAATTTTAGACAATGAAAGATTTTTAAAAAGTAGTCCTGAAGAAAGTTGCTATAGATGTAGTTGAGATCTGGCCTGGTTCCAAAGGTTGGGGAGGTGATGGTGGGAGGAGCCAGCAGGTTATAAACTTGTTTGGTTATTGAAGGATGATGTAGCATATATCTTCTCAGCACCTTATTTTTCTATCTGCAACCTGACCCATTAAGATTTGTTACCTTGTTGCCCTTATCAGTGTGGCTCCATTGGTGGTTGTGCCAGCTCCATTCCCCATCAGGGCACATGCCACGATTTTTGAGCTTGATCCCTGGTCGGGGGCTTGCAAGAGGAAGCTGATCCATGTTTCACTCACAGTGATGTTTCTCTCCCTCTCTAAAAATCAGTAAATTATTCTTTTTCAATGGACACACAAAAGATTTGTTATCTTGTCCACATCACAGTTTCTCTGAATTATTAACTTTTTGGACTCCGGTCCACCTGCCCATCCATATGTCTCTGATTTCTCAGGTTTGGCTTCCATTCTTTGCTATTTACATTTTAGGTCAAGTTCTCAGTGTCAGTCTGCTGAGTTACATGTAATGTCCTAAGTATCCTGAACTGCTGGTAGTTATTCTGGTGGTTGTGTTTGCATCTTATGAACTTCATTTTTTGTAGACTTCCCAAGTAAGAAGCGGAAGAGGAGCCGCTGGAACCAAGACACAATGGAACAGAAAACGGTGATTCCAGGAATGCCTACAGTTATCCCCCCTGGACTTACTCGGGAACAAGAGAGAGCTTATATAGGTAAATACACGTTCTGCACCCAAATGCATTTTCAGATTGTTCATGTTCTGAGCGACACTATCCGTTTTAGTTTTGAGACTTTAAATTTTTCTATTTTGAGATCATGTATGGCCCGGTGTACTTTCATGACTCTGCAATAATTCTTCAGTTTTTGCTGTGGGTCCTGCATTCGCAGCTCCTTGTTACAGTCTGTTGGTAAGAGCAGTGTTCTCCATGAGGACCAGGGAAGGAGAGGGGCCCCCTAGGCGTTAAAATAGCCCCCAGGTTAGAACCCCCCGCCGTTCAGCTGCCATTACTGCCGGTCGGGGAGGGGAGTGTCTGCCTCGGGACACGGCCCGTGGAGAACACGCAGGTATTGTACACAGTGCCTTTCACAGCATGGCCTCACCGTGATTTCACGTTTCTCCCTTCCCTTACAAACGGTCTTTACTTTTTATAGGTACTTTCTGACCGGAAAATACTCAGTTTAATCAAAAAGTGGTTCTGAAAGTGTTTACAGTTCACCCCCTTTTTAATCATTTTGTTGAGTTTAACCTTTCCTTCAGCAATTTTTTTCCTGGTTTGGTCTTTAGAGAGCTGTCTTAAAATGAGGGCTCTTGTATTTACCACTAAAGAACTCTGCTGGGAAAGAGATACTACTTGGACATGGATCTTACCTATTGGGAACTTTTAAGAATTAAGAATGACGATCCACATTGGAAGTGAAATTAACCTCAAAGTTACCTTTTTAAAAATACAAGGTTTTTAATGCAATTTGACCTTTATTTGTGTACCTCTGCTGATGTCTCAAAAAAAGTTCACTTTTGATAAACATTTCCTACTAACCAAATAAACAGCCCCTTTGGAGTAAATTAGGGCAATGAGTGGTTTCCCACACTTAGGGGCTATGGCCTTCACAAACAAAAAGCTCCAGGCTGGCTTGTTATTCTTGAGGATCATGGTGTCTTACATTTTTTAGACTGCTGAGAATTTTGAGGTGTTGAAATTGCCTAATATTCACAATATTTTCCTTCCCGACTGTTCTATCTACTGCTGCTCAGTCTCAGATCTGAATCTTCACAGCCTTGTGAAAATGTCCTTTGTGGAGCAATATCCCAAAGAATAACAAGCTGACTTAGAAATTGGGAAAACGGACTCATTCTTTACATTTCCAGTTTTCTTCCTGTGGAAAGAGTTAATGCACTGAGCCCTAAGGGCTATTTATAGCTAACTTATAGCCAGAACCAAAGCCTGGGCTAATGTAGGTTTCCACTCCAAGGAATATAGCAACCTTGATTTAAGTGCCAGCTACTTCCTCAAATTAGACCCCAGGACCCCTGCAGTCTAGTTGAGAGAACTGACACACACACACACACACACACACACACACACGAAGGTGGCCTTTGCTTTGAGTTGTTCTTGGAAATTTAATCTCCAAGTCAGAACTTTACTGGCATAAAAGAGCTTATGGGGAGCCATTGTTTTTTTTGTGTGGTTTTTTTTTTTTTTTTCTTTTTAATTATTTATTTTTTTACAGAAAGGAAGGGAGAGGGACAGAGCTAGAAACATGGATGAGAGAGAAACATCGACTAGCCGCTGCTGGGGATGTGCTCGCAACCAGTGCACATGCCCTGGACCTTTCAGGCCACAGGCCGACACTCTATCCACTGAGCCAAACCGGTTTTGGTTTTTGTCTTTTGTCTCACAGTACACATGCCTTGTACAGAATGCCCCATGTTGTTGTTGTTTTTTTAATATTAATGTAGATTTTAGCTTCTTTATTTTTAATGGGTGTGTAATATAGCCCCTGTGAGGTGTATTTATTTACTTTTTTGGTAATCCTCGTCTGAGGATTTTTTCCATTGGTATTTTTTGAGAGTGGAAGGGAGGAGGAGAGACATTGATTTGTTTGCCTTCCACACGTGCTCTGATGGGCTGGGAATCGAGCCTACAACCAAGGTATGTGCCCTTGATCAGTATGTGCCCCTCAGTCTGCAGACAGATGCTTGACCCACTGAGCCAAACCGGCTCGGGCTCTGAGATGTATTTAAATTTAGAAGGGTATCTTGGACTAGACCTACATTAATCTGTCCTGGAGCTATTTCAACTTTAACCCAGCCAGTAAGACTTGCTCTTGAGCTGTTCAAAACTCTCAGATGCTAAGAAATAGGCTGAAGAAAGTGATCTGGCTCTTCCAGTCCCGTTATTTTGAGTAAAATCATCCGGGTAGCATTGCCCTGGAGTCTGAATTTTTGTGAAAAACCCTCATTTCTCTTTTGCATGTTCAACCTCATTTGTCAAGGTCAGAGGGTCACACCATTCTTGACTCACACTTTCAGTCCTCTATACCCCTACTTTTACTCCCACTTAAGGAGCAAGTCTAAAACCAGACTTGGTACCACTAATGTTGGTTAAGGTATATGGATTGTCATCTAAAATATGAATAAAGGCAAGAAGGTATTGGGAGATTCCTACTAGTATGGGTCTGGTGTACAGAAAATATGTATGAACTTCTGTGAAGTGTTGAATTGGTTATTAACTGTCGTCTTTAAGGAATTTTTAACCTTGTATCAATGAAAATAATATTTGCTCAACTGGTATATTTCCTTATCCCATGTTAATTGGGTTTCATTTTGGGCTATGCTTAATATTTATTGAGGAAAAATTAGCTCTCAAGAGTCTTGCCCTCAAAGTAATTTGGTGGGAACAGGATATCGGTGATAACGTACATGGTTTGGTTCTGGGTGCCAATTGTTACAGCAAGCCTTGGTAGGGGGAGAGGTGAAACACCTGATAAATGTTTGGTACTAGCCATAGTGAACAGTCTATACTGCTAACCCCTCTTCAAACAAACTGTTTGCTTCCTTAAGTGATAACCATTTTGAAGTGAAAAATACCTGTAGATGTAAATGGACTCCTGCCGCTAGATGGTTGGGAGTTTTTGCCTCAATGTGTACACTGATCAGTCGTCCCTTTCAAAGTCTCCGAGTTCTTCATGCTTGTTGTTGAGATTTGAGATGTTTTTTGGTAACATTGTCTTTTTTCCATCCTTTTTTTCTTTCCTAACCTGGTTTCTTCCAGTGCAACTGCAGATAGAAGACCTGACTCGTAAACTGCGCACAGGAGACCTGGGCATCCCCCCTAACCCTGAGGACAGGTTGGGAAACAGTTTTAACCAGCTGACAGTAACGCTTTTATCTTTTTCTCAATAACGTTTTACTGGTGGCAACATATTGTGTCAGTTCAATAAAATCCTAGTAAGACGACTGGTACTCTGATCAAGTGGTTAGTCGTCAGCTAGAAATTGTAATGAAACTTAATTACTAGCAGAATAAAAAGTTACAGGAAAATGGATATCTGTTTTCTAATTTGTAAGCATGTTTATTTAACCTGTCTTGCCCACCCATGAGGACAGTGAGTGGGCCATTACCAGCCTTTCAGTACCCGCTTCGGCTGAAAGCCCAGGGTGTTGAGTTTTTCTCACAGGTGCACCATGCAGGAATTAAGAATATTTTTGAGCAGGCCAGAAACTCAGTCTGCTCAGCTCATTGCTATATTGTAGCTGCTCATGGTTTTGGGATGGTTTTAAAACAGACAGGATATCTACCCACTTTCTTTTACTGTCAGTTAATTTTCAGCCTTTGGCCATTGCCTGGGGTATTGGGAGAGGCTGGAATATTCCCACTTGTTTTGGGAAGGCTAGCTACCACACACCCCTATTTTTTATTTATTTATGTTTTTTTAAAGGGAAGTGTGGTCCTTCAACAGCTGTGGTCATGTTATCTCAGTTTAAAATTTCACATGTGAAAAGAAAAAAGTCCAAGAGAAGTGAACTTTTTTATATATATTACAGAGAGGAAGGGAAAAGGGGAGAGAGAGAAACATCACTGGTGAGAGAGAATCATTGATCGGCTGCCTCCTGCATGCCCCACACTGGGGATCAAGCCTGCAACATAGGATGTGCCCTGACCTGGAATCGAACCATAACTTCCTGGTTCATAGGTCAATGCTCAACCACTAAACCATGCCAGGTGGAAGTGAATTTTTTAAGCACTAATTTTATTGGCTGATTGTGGTCTTTGAACAGCTAAAACTTAGTCCATTTAATTGGAAGGACAATATGACTTCTCTCAATGAAATTTCTCTTGGTGTGTGTAGCATAGTTGACAGTACTTTGCTTTAAATTGTAGTGTTTTTGGCTTTTGTTACCCAATTAGTAACTTGTTAAATAGGAAGATGTATTAGTTTAAGAAGCCACTCTTATACATCTTTCTACTGCCCCTTGCTAGGAAACAAGTTTATTGACTTGACTTTGTTTATACTGTTTTTTTACCTATAGATTTTGGTTGGAAGGGGCTGTGTTTCATATTTCTTGGCCTTTTTAGGTTGCAGACCACAACTGTTAAGTGCCTTTTTTTTTTTTTTTGCTTCCCCCCCCCCCCTTTAATAATACATCTACAGGTTACCAGGCAATTCCTCAAAAGGTTGAATTTTAAAAAATATATATTTTATTGAGTTTTTACAGAGAGGAAGAGAGAGAGAGAGTTTGAAACATCGATGAGAGAAACATCGATCAGCTGCCTCTTACACACCCTCTACTGGGGATGTGCCCGCAACCAAGGTACATGCCCTTGACTGGAATCGAACCCAGGACCTTTCAGTCCGCAGACCGACGCTCTATCCACTGGGCCAAACCGGTTTCGGCAAAAAGGTTTAATTTTTAACAACCTTTGCTTCCTGGAGAACTGGGATTAGAATTTAGTTCATCTATACAATGTTTATGCAAAGTGAAGAAGTTGGCCAATCTAACCTTTAGAATATCAGCTTTTGTATTTCACATTCATAATTTAGGAAGAGATTTAAATGACCAATTTGTACTGGTAACATTTTGGTGATTAGCTAGAAATGCTTAATTCTAGACAGTTACTGGGGGGATTAGAAATGTCAAGCATGCTAGAAATAAAACCAGAGCAGCCTCTTTCTCCCTGGTATTCAGTTTGAAAGAATCCCTAATACCTGATTGGTTTTTCTTTTGAGCCCAGGTTGGAGGGAAATGCATGAGTTTCTTAACTTAATAAGGTTATTTCTTAAGGTGTGTTTTCAATATTAAGCCACTTTATGCCATTTTGATGTTGCTTAAGTTGCACAGTTAAAAATGTTTTTAAATTGGTTGTAGATTTAAATGTATAAGATGATAGTCTAATAAACTGGGGTATGTTTGCTTTTGTTCACTATTACTGGATTGTGCTAACAGTTTATACAAATGCTAGAAACGGAGGTGTCATTTAGCCGTCATTAGCCATGAACAAACCTGACCTTTTATTCCATCGTGTGTGTAACGGATGACATGGTTCCCTTTAGGCTGAAGACAGTGGGAGCAGCCGAGTTCAGTCCTTGCTCTCCAACTAGGCAAGGTTCTCTCAACTAAACCAAGGGTGTAGGAGTCTTGACTACTTTCAGGATGTTTTTTAATAACCTGATCCACATGGTCTCTTCCCTTCTTGCAGCTGATACTAAATTTTCAATCAGAATATCAAGCTATGGTCCTTTTTGTAATCTTAACTTAGAATTCTAGGAGTGTAACTTTTTTTTTATTACCCCCAAATCCAGCTGTGGTAAACTGACCATTTTATCATTACTATTTATTACTTGTAGCAACAGCATTTTACTCCTTGGAAAACAGAGAGAGAGAAAATCTGCTTTCTGGACTTGTAAACTCTGGTGGAGAATCCTAGGTTTTCCCTGCTGTTTGCAGGTTCAGACCTTAGACAAGTACTTGGCCAAGTCTGCATTTGCAGCCTCTCTTAGAAGCTGCTTTAGCACTTTTAACATCTTTCTTTACCCAGACTCCCCAGCATCGAACAGCCAGAAACAGGTTGGCTCCTGGGCCTTGGACACAGCCAGTCAGGCCATTGAAGGAAAAGCAGAGACGAAGCCTTGCACCATCTCTCCATTGTGGGGCCCAGTAGCTGCCTAGCCTTGAGTCCTAGCCGCATCGGGTTGAAGAGTTCATCCTTAGCGTGTGGCAGGGGTACATTCATTCCTGATAGGGCATGGACTCTGCGAGAGCTGACATTTTAAATAAACTTGGGGTTTTTGTGGTTCATAAAGTTGTAATATTGTAAATTTTTTGCAAATGGTAGAAAATCCATATTTGGCAAGAAGACTCCAGATAGTATTGTCCTTGTCATTTGCAGTCAAGAGATTTTTCCAAAGAACAGACTAAACCCTCCTCATTTTTAGAAGAAAAAAAAAACAAACCATTTTTTTTGCCTTTCTCACACACACCCAAGTCCCCCAAACGTTAAGCTTCCATCTCCCCATTCCACACGATCTTGAATAGCACACGTATGGTCAGTTCCTCCGAGAGTGTTGTGTTAGGGTCTGAGGCAGAAGGGCTGGGAAGGCTTATTATAGCCCGTGTGGGGATGACGGAAGAGTGAAGGCAGAGCAGTAATGGCGGTCTGTCTCCCACAGGTCCCCTTCCCCTGAGCCCATCTACAATAGCGAGGGGAAGCGGCTCAACACCCGGGAGTTCCGCACGCGCAAGAAGCTGGAAGAGGAGCGGCATAACCTCATCACGGAAATGGTTGCTCTCAACCCCGACTTCAAGCCACCTGCCGATTACAAGTAAGCAGAGGGCGGGGTTGTCTGGGACAAGGACACGTGAAGATTGCATGTGACATGGTAGAACATTAAAAAAAAAAAAAAAAAAGACATTGATTTCAGAAAGGAAGGGAGAGAGAGAAACATCAATGATGAGAGAATCATTGATTGGCTGCCTCCTACACACCCCATACCGGCAATCAAGCCCGTAACCGGGGCATGCGCCCTGCCTGGGAATTGACCCATGACCTCCTGGTTCCTAAGCCAACACTAAGTCACTGAGCCACATGGTGGAACATTTAGTATAACTTCTCACCTCTTACCCTCAAATCACCAGAGTCAATGAGTCTTTTCTTCCTTAGACCTCCAGCAACACGTGTGAGCGATAAAGTAATGATTCCACAAGATGAATATCCAGAAATCAACTTCGTGGGGCTGCTGATTGGGCCCAGGTAAGTAACTGCTAGCCTATGGGATAGAGCACATGTGTCAACACAAGGCCCGCGGGCCAAATCCGTCCCGCCAGGCCTTGCAATGTGGCCCGCACCGCGCTGTCATCACTGTACTCCGCTGCGTTTCCATCACAATGACAGTTTATGACTGTTCAGTAAACCATTCGGCCCGCGATTTAGACTGGATTTTAGATTTTGGCCACTTCTCTGATTGAGTTTGACACCCCTAGGATAGAGAATTCCTAAGAACCTGTGAGGTGTGTTTATCTTGTGCCAAATTGGGTGCCATTGGTGGCACCTTCCTGTTTTGGGTAGGACTTCACCTTGGCTGAGTTCATGCCTTCCTGTGAGAAAATCTCGTTATCCTTACTTTACTTTAGGGAAGTCAAATCATAAGGATTGCTGTGGCTGGTCTTCACTTAGAGATCATGGATCTCTTGGTGGGAGATCCAGTTCTCTGCACTCCTGATTTCCTACCAGGGCCTGATCAGCCCACCTTTGTCCCCTCTGGCCTGTGAATTTGCATATAACAACTCAACCTTTTCTGCATCTGACAGAGGGAACACGCTGAAGAACATAGAGAAGGAGTGTAACGCGAAGATAATGATCCGGGGGAAAGGGTCTGTGAAAGAAGGGAAAGTTGGGCGCAAAGATGGCCAGATGTTGCCAGGAGAAGATGAGCCACTTCATGCCCTGGTTACCGCCAACACCATGGAAAATGTGAAGAAAGCAGTAGAACAGGTGAGGGAACCAGAAAGGAAGCCTCTTGCCAGAAATCGGGTGGTTGTCTTGGCACTTAACACACCTGTCTGTTTTCTCTCTCTTAGATCAGAAACATCTTGAAGCAAGGGATTGAGACCCCTGAGGACCAGAATGACCTGCGGAAGATGCAGCTTCGGGAGCTGGCTCGCTTGAATGGGACCCTTAGGGAAGATGATAACAGGTAAGGGATCGGCTTAGAGGAGAGTGCACAGAGACTGAGGAGCCTATTGAAGCAGGTGGCCATAGCCCTTGAGTTGACTTTTTTTCTCTCTCAACAGGATCTTAAGACCCTGGCAGAGCTCAGAGACCCGCAGCATCACTAGTACTACAGTGTGTACCAAGTGCGGAGGGGCCGGCCACATTGCTTCTGATTGCAAATTCCAAAGGTGAGGGGCTGCAGTGGTTTGCTGGTAGCCCGTAGTGTGCAGGAAGCTCTTCGGCACATTGGTTGCTGTTAACATGGGTCCAAGAGAAGCTTTCCTTTCTGTGAATGTCATGGAGTGGTTTGAAGTCTGTGCACAACATCCTGTTTTGTTCATCTTGAGCCCAGGAAAACTGTAAACTTCCGTCCTGGGTATGGGGAGTTGGTGTCCGTCGTGTCTACTCCCCCCCCCCCCTTTTTTTTTTTTAAGTCTTCGTTCAAGGATGTTTTTATTGTCTTTAGAGAAAGGGGAAAGGAAAGAGAGAGTGAAACATCAGTGTGAGAGAAAAACACCAATCAGTTGTCTCTAATATACACCCAACCAGGGATCAAACTCACAATCTGGGTATGTGCTCTGACCAGGAATTGAACCTGTGACCTTTGGTGTATGGGACAACAGTCCAACCAACTGAGCTATACCCACCAGGGCAGGGTACAAGTTTTTTTTACTGTGGCTCAATATTAGGTGCTGTTTTTGCTGCCGAAGATTGGTTTAAGAATGCCAAAATTATGTAAAGATTTTGACCAGTTTTGCAAGCCAGCACTTGATAGCAACAGATTTTTCACTCTGAATGGCTTTGTTAAGGAAGTCCTGTCAGCTGTGTTCCAGTCTTGCATAGATTTCCTTCCCTCAAACTGGAAATGCAGAATTCTTTGTTTAAATGTTTTTACTGACTTCAGAGAGAGGGGAAGGGAGAAGGAAAGAGAGAAACAACATCACAGGTTGGCTGCCTCCTCGCAACCTGGTTATCTGCCCTGGTTGGGAATCCTTGGGTGAATGGGACGATGCTCTAGCCCAGTGGTCGGCAAACTCATTAGTCAGCAGAGCCAAGTATCAGCAGTACAATTGAAATTTCTTTTGAGAGCCAAATTCTTTAAACTTTTACAATATAGGGCAGGTACGTTGTTGCTAACTTAATTAGGGTACGTGGTATTTTGTGAAAGAGCCCCATGTGGCTCACGGCCGCAGTTTGTCGACCACTGTTCTAACCAGCTGAGCCACACTGGCAGGGCTGGGAATGCAGAATTTGATGAAAGTTGCTGCTTTGAAGAACCTGCACTCTCCTGTCCGGCATGGCTGGTAGTGGCCTGTCTCACCACCTCCCTGCTCTCGGCCCGGGGCTCTGCTGTGGCAGAGGGTGTGGAATCCCAGGTGCCCAGCAGAGAGCTAATGAGACTGTTGCATACTTTGAAGAATGTATTAGGATGATTCAGTTCCTCAACTTGTGTAAATTCCTCAGGGTTAAAGTTTACTCCTTAATGACTTCCCCTCTCTTTGTGACCCACACCCCGCCTTCAGGCCTGGTGACCCGCAGTCAGCTCAGGATAAAGCTCGGATGGATAAAGAATATTTGTCTCTCATGGCTGAACTGGGTGAAGCTCCTGTGCCAGCATCAGTGGGCTCCAGCTCTGGGCCTGCCAGCACACCTCTGGCCAGCGCACCTCGGCCTGCTGCTCCCGCCAACAACCCGCCGCCACCGGTGAGCGTCCGGTGCTGTTCTGTGGCCGGGCCCCCGTCTTCCTCAGAGGAGGGGGTAACGGCCAGGATTTGGGGCAGAGCAGACTGCTGACATGGCTGGCAGCATTGTTCTCTCGGGATGTCAGATGTTTGTGTTCTGGTCCCTGCCATAGCCGAGAGAACAATGTTGCCACCAGGGGGAGCAGGCAGGGACGTTGGCAGGAAATGCTCTCACATAGTCTCTCATGTCTACCACCCAGAGCCGCCCACCCTGGATGAATTCTGGCCCTTCAGACAGCCGGCCCTACCACGGCATGCACGGAGGTCCTGGCGGGCCTGGAGGCGGCCCCCACAGCTTCCCACACCCGTTACCCAGCCTCACAGGTGGGCACGGTGGGCACCCCATGCAGCACAACCCTAACGGACCCCCGCCTCCGTGGATGCAGCCGCCGCCGCCGCCGATGAACCAGGGCCCCCACCCGCCTGGGCACCATGGCCCTCCTCCAATGGGTAAGTAAGTGTCAGACCAGAAACCTTGGGGCTTTGGGGTAACAAGAGTGAGGGCAAGTTGTTTGAACGAGCAGCAGTTCTGAGTGGCTGAGTGCTGCCCTGGGTCTGCCAGGCTTGGGCTCCGGGAGGAGCAGGACAGGGTTGTGTGTGGGGTCAGCACAGGCCTCTCCCAGAACTGCTCTTGGAAGGCAGAGGCAGGAAAGCCGCTGGTGGGGGCCAGTTCCAATGTCCTGCTAAGTCCCTGCTCTCTCCTTCCATCAAGATCAGTACCTGGGAAGTACGCCTGTGGGCTCTGGGGTCTATCGCCTGCATCAAGGAAAAGGTAACGGAGCCTGGCATCCATCTCCCTTTGGGGCATCACCTCGGCCTGGGAACGGATGGGCCCGTCCCAAGTCTCCGCCAGAGGCCTGACCCTCTCCTTCCCCTAGGTATGATGCCGCCACCGCCTATGGGCATGATGCCGCCACCGCCGCCGCCACCCAGTGGGCAACCTCCTCCCCCGCCTACTGGGCCGCTACCCCCATGGCAACAGCAGCAGCAGCAGCCTCCACCACCCCCTCCGCCCAGCAGCAGTATGGCTTCCAGTACCCCGTTGCCATGGCAGCAAAGTGAGTGGCATATTTTGGGCTTGTGGGGGTGGGTGGGATGGGGGGTAGGGCTAAGAGGACTGGGAGAACCTCACAGCTCACACAGGCAGGCCAGCACCTTGGGGTGAGACTCTGATCTCTGCGGGGGTGAACACAAAGGGAGGTCTGATGTTCGGCGTGGTTGTGTCGGGGGATGTGGGGGCCTGGAGGGGACCTGCCACAGTTGGCAGGGTGTCAGACTCTCACTGGCTGAGTGAGCGCTGGCTGGCTCAGTTCTGTGCACATGGCCAGGGTGGGTGGTGCATGCGAGTTTTGGAGAGGGATGTGATTGGGGCCTGAGAGACTGGGGATGGTTGGGGATGGTACCTGGCAGTGGGAGAGTAGCTGTGGCCTTGAGGTTGAATGTGCCGTTCGGTGGTGGCGGCGGATGGGCGGAGGGATGTCAGAGCCGGTTCTTGTGTCTGGTACCTTCCTGTCAGCCCTTCCAGGGGACATTGGTGACAAAGGGCTTACTTCGTTAAGCCCAGAGGCCTCGAGGCTGACCCTAGGGTAGTCCTGCCCACCCCTTCACTCCCCACCACCAGGACAGCCCCGCCCGCCCGCCCCCCACCACCGTACAGCATGCAAAGCAAGGAGCAGGCGCCCCTCGCCCCGGCCCAAGGCAGCAGCCGCCGAGACCGCGGTGTGCCCCCGCGCGTGTGACCTTGGGCTTCTTTACCACCCCAGATACGACGACTACCACCACGAGCGCTGGCACAGGGTCCATCCCGCCATGGCAACAGCAGCAGGCGGCTGCCGCAGCTTCTCCAGGAGCCCCTCAGATGCAAGGCAACCCCACTATGGTGCCCCTGCCCCCCGGGGTCCAGCCGCCTCTGCCGCCCGGGGCCCCTCCCCCTCCGCCGCCTCCGCCACCTGGTTCCGCCGGCATGATGTATGCCCCGCCTCCCCCTCCGCCGCCTCCCATGGACCCTTCTAACTTTGTCACCATGATGGGCATGGGGGTGGCAGGCATGCCGCCCTTCGGGATGCCTCCAGCTCCCCCACCGCCTCCACCACAGAACTAGACTCGGTTTTTTAAGGAAATATATATTATAGAGAGAATTGGTCTTGTTTAAACACACGCAGAACCTCACCATATGGAGCCAGACATTGGGACGCACGCATGTGATAGTGTGCACGCATGTGTGTGTGTGCACGCACCGGGCTGGGCCAAGTGACTGAGGACGGGCAGGTGGTAGCAGGGGCGCCAGCTTGGGCTTTCCTGGCGCCCCGTAGCATCGAGTGTCTTCTTTGTCTTTCTCTCCTCACCCAACTCCCTTTGCCTCTCCCCAAACCGGGCCGCCAGGATCCCTCCCCGCAGCAGCGATGGCCCGAGCCATGAGAGTGAGGACTTTCCGCGCCCATTGGTGACCCTTCCAGGCAGACAGCCTCAGCAGCGCCCCTGGTGGACAGGATGGTTCGGCAAAGCAGCCTGAGTTATTTTTGTGGACGGAATCGGAACACGCTGGCTCCATATTGTGAAATTTTTATTAATTTTTTTCTTTTTCCTTTGTTATTTCCTTATCTCTTCCTTTCTTCAGACTCCGTCCAAGGAGATGCTCTCCCCGGTCTTCTGCTGCAATCAGATTACTTTTCCTTTTCTCCATTCCTCACTCTTCTCTTTCCAAGGAGAGAGGAGCAAATGGTTTTAGGCCACGGCCTTGGCCACTAACACCAGGCTAGTTTGGACGGGGGTGTTCCTTTGGTTCTAAGATTTCCAAGGTGCCATCGCCACCCCAAGATGATGACTTTTTAAGTGGGATTTTGTGTCTGCCGCCCTCTGGTAGTGGCTCAATCTCCAGGTCCTGACACCCCCGCCAGCCGCCGGGTGGCTGCCCAGCCACCTGGGCTTGTCTGCCAGACCAGGTCGTTCCACTCCCCCGAGCGCCTAGGCCGCCTCATCCATTTGTTCCTCTCCTTCCTGGAAGGCTTCCTCTAAGTTTTACTTTAATTCCAAACGTCTGGCTGTTTTTGCAGTGTCTAGGGTGTTGAGCCCCTTGTTTTTTCGTTCTGCTCCCCAACCCCGTCCCTTTTCATGGAGTGATTATGTTGACAATAATGTATAACGCGCGTTCTCTTCACTGGTTTATCTGCAGAAATTTCTCTGGGCTTTTTTTTCCAGTGTATGGTTCAACACTGCGTTGAAGGGGGATGTTCCATTGAATAAAAGAGCAGTGTGGTTTTCTGGGTCTGTTTCTTTATTTTCTCTTAAGCCCTCCCTCCCCCATCGTCAGCAGGATTAGTCACCTGTGCTGCCACAGGTCGCACCGGCCCCTGGGAAGCCCGTGGCCATTAGCTGAGAAGCTCCGCCTGCCTCCCTGTGGGTTTGTGGAAGTGGAGTGTGTGGGCAGCCCACCTCCTCCCCGTGGGAGGAAATAGCTGAGAACCGTGCTCCCCTCCCGGCGACCCCGCATCCCTCGGGGCCGTGTCCTTTTGAAGACGTTCCCTGCCGCTCGGACCCCTCACGTTGGCAGAGCTCCAGTTGTGATTTGTGCCTGAAAGATGCCACCTGACCACGGCCCTGGGCCTAGGAGGCTCCCACACTAAAGGTCAAGCCAACTAATCTGCCCGTCAGGCACAGCAGCTAAAATTAAAATTGCCAAGTGGCTTTCTTGCTCTGCTGGTGACTTGCAGCCTGCCAGCTCTGCAGGCTTTGGGGAGTGGTGGGGGCGAGAGAACATGCCCACCTCTGCTTCGTAAGCACTTCTTTGCAAAGGGTCTTAGCCTGCTTTTTCTTTTCACGTCTGGACAGAGCCCATTGTGGCACTGGAGAAACCTGTGTCCGGTCTCCGTGAGGTAGTGAGTCCCACCCCTCCGCACTCCCCTGGGAGAGTGTTGGGGCTGGCCCTCCCCGGCCGGCTTTCCTTTGAACAGGCTGAGACAACAGGCTCCTGCTCCCAGCACCTGACCAGTGGGGACGACTGGCCGGGGCTTCCAGCTTCGAACAGGAGAGGGCCGTTACTGGGGATCTGGAGCGAAGCCCGGTGTCTGTCCTTGCTGCAGGCCTGCGGGGCTCACAGGAGCTTCGGGACGTTTGGTGGGTTCCCTGGCCCTCGGCTGACGGGAAGGAGGGGAAATCTGCCCTTCCCTGATGGGGTGGAGGCAGGCGCGGGCCTGGCTACCCTCTTTGACCTTGGCTTCACCTCATTGCTCCCCCACAAGCTCGGTTTCCCTGGTGGGCTCATTGGGCGGTTAATTAGCTCTTTGAAGCTCTGAAAGAGGCAAAGTGGCGCTATGTGGGTTTTAGAAATAAAATCAATAAACGACTTAACCGCAGCCCAGCTATCTCCTGTGTCTCCCCCGGGGCCAGCTCCACTCCTGCGCTCCTCTGCTCCCTGCCGTCAGCTTTTGTTAAGGTTTGGAGAGTAACAAAGTGGCTGAGGAAGGCATCCCATGCAGCTCTAGGCCCTGAAATGGAGGAGAGACAACAGGAAGGCCGGGCCTTCTGAGTGGCTGCGAGCCACCTGCCTTTGGCAGATTGGAGAGCTGTGGCTGCTCCCTTCACCCCCTCCTGGATGCTCCCTCTGGAAAGGCCTTTTGTGAGCCCTATTGTTAGGGGACCGGCCTCCCCTTAGGCCTTTCTGTGCTGCCACATCGCCCACACCCTGCAGCTTGGGCGAAGGGGATGCCAGCTGGGGAAGGTCAGCGATAGGGCTGTTACTAAGACCCAGCCAAGTGCTCTGAGAAACTAAAGACTGGTCCAGGGAGGGAGGCAGGATTTCTGATGAGAAACCTGGTCAGACAAATAACCTTGAGTTCGTTCAGGTTGGAAAACGGCTTTAAGGATTCTTTAAAATAAACGCACATATAACTGGAGGGAGCGAATGAGCAGGGAGAACGGACTCGGTGAAATAGGAGTAGGGCCGTTGGAACCTACCGGTAGGTTTCATGCTGCTGGGTGGGGACATCGAAGGAGAAAAAGCTGGAAGCTGAGTTGGAGGCCACTGACACAGACCGAAAATGCCCACAAGAAGGCAGTTAAATGAGTCAGAAGTGAGTTTGTCACCTCCACTGCCTCAGTTGGTCAAGCATCGGCCGTGTATTAGGAGGTCACAGGGCACATGCCTGGGGTGTAGGCTCAATTCCCAGTAGAGGGCATGCAGGAGGCAGCCCATCAATGTTTCTCTCCTCAGAAATCATTAAAAACATTTAAAAATACACATTACTGATTTCAGAGAGGAAGGGGTGGGGTGTGTGGGGAGAAAGAGAAACATTAATCAGCTGTCTCCTGCATGCCCCACACTGGATCAAACCCACAACCTAGACATATGCCCTGACCAGGAATTGAACTGTGATCTGACTCAGATTGATGCTTGACCACTGAGCCACACCAGCCAGGCAATAAGAACATTTTTTTAAAAAGGTATTTTATTGATTTTTTTACAGAGAGGAAGAGAGAGGGAGAGAGAATTAGAAACATTGATGAGAGAGAATCATTGATCAGCCGCCTCTTGCACACCCCCCACTGGGGATGTGCCCACAACCAAGGTATGTGCCCTTGACCGGAATCGAACCTGGGACCTTTCAGTCCACAGGCCGACGCTCTATCTACTGAGCCAAACCGGTTTTGGCAATAAGAACATTTTTAAAGGCACATCTGTTTTCCAGTAGAAACGGTATGTCCTAGTTCAAGTGCCTTGAGTGAGAGGAAGAGTGGACACTGGATTGATAAGAGGACTGTGGGCCAATTCTGGAAAAGGATTGAATGAATTCGGGGAGCCGAATAGAAAGATGGGAGTGATCTGGCATTGGCCAGTGTTGCCAGTTCGATGCCATCTCGGGGCACAGGCCTGGGGTACAGGCTTGATCTCCTGTAGGGGGCATGTAGCAGACAACAATGGTTCACTCTCCCTCTGGAAGAGAAAGGATGGGAAAAGCCCTGGCTGGTTTTGTTCAGCAGTTAGAAAGGCAGGCCTCGGTCTGAAGAGTCACAGGTTTGATTCCTGGCCAGGAGCACACACCTTGGTTGCACGTTCAATCCCTGGCCCCCGTTGGCTGGGGCGCCAGTGGGAGGCAGCCATTGGATGTCTTTCTGATGCTTCCTTTCTCCCCCGCCCCCTCCTTCCGCTCTGAAAGTCAGTGGGAAAACATCCTCCTGTGAGGATTAAAGAAAACGAGGGGCATGGTCTGTTGGGAGCCATCCTTAGTGGCAGGAAAGAGTCTTACAGGCAATTAGGGGTCAGTATGAAGTTTTGTGAGGCCAAAGTGTGCTGCCATAGTTGGGGTGTGGCGAGAGCACACTTACCTGGTGTGCTCTGCTCGGACCAGCCCGCGGGGGGAGCTGAGCAGAGGCTGCGCAGGAGGCTGAGGACAGGAGCTGTGAGGAGACGAGAATGCCGCCAGCATTCCTTTTGGAAACAGACTTCTAGAAGCCTTGCCTCGCTGGTTTGGCTCAGTGACCAGTGTCTGGCCTGCAGACTGAAGAGTCCCAGGTTTGATTCGGGTGAAGGGCACAGGCCTGGGTTGCAGGCTTGATCTCCAGTAGGGGGCATGCAGGAGGCAGCCAATTAACCTGTTAACCCGGGAGTTCCTTTTCAATTACGCAAACTGTAATGGGCGTGTACTCTTTCACTAGGATGTGTCAGTACGTCATGCCCGGTGGACGTAATTTCATATTATTTTTATTTATACTTAATTAAAATAAATAATATATATATATTTTCATTTATTTATATATAAAGCACAAAGGAAAATACAAAATTATTTTAAAAAAATAGAAAAGAATACCAACAAAAAAAATGGAAACATCGAATTAAAAAATTATAAATTTTACAAACAATTATAAAGATTACAAAAAATATATACCGTTCCTCTCAGGGCGCAACATATATTTCCAGGACGTATTCATACGTCCTACCTGTTCCCGATATTGTTTACATTTGACGTATTTATAGGTCCCGCTCGGTTAACAGGTTAATCTCTTTCATTGATGTTTCTATATCTCCCTCTCCCTTCCTCTGAAATCAATAAAAATATATTAAAAGTCTGAATAAAAGTTATTTAAACAAAGAAAACCGGTCTTTTCTTTGGGTCCCTTTCCTCCACTGTGGAGCATGGCACCATGGGGGACCAGCATGGGCAGAGCAGGGCTTGGGTATCGGAGGCCTGGGTGGACTTGGACTTGGCCCAGCACTGAGCTGTGGTTCAGGCTGGGCCTGCTGTGGGTCACAAGGTCCTGGGGAAGAGCTTGCCTTCCCTGAGTCGGGCTCCCTGTACATCACCCTGCAGCTGTCCAGGCCTCTGACCTTCCTTGGCTCCTCCTCCCTGCCCCCAAACCACCGGCTACAGCTCCAGGAGGCCCAGGGCTCCCTTTGCTTCCAAAGTCAGCTTCCACAGCGCAGGCTCAGAAAACAGCACCCACCTGAGGACACAGCACATCGGTGCCGGGGCCAGTCCCTGAGCAGTGAGTTGGGGGCCGTCGGAGCCTCCAGAGGAAGATGAATGGCGTGAAGTTCCTGGGTGCAGGGGCTTCCAGTTGACTGAAGTCCCAGCTGTGAATCCTGGGCCACTAAGTCCTTGTCGGGTGGGTAGCCCCAGGGGGGAGGAGAGAGGGAGAAGGCCTCCAATCACCTGGCAGCTCAGTACAGGAACACGTACTACCATCGGCCATTGTTATGGCTGGTGGGGGGGTGGGGTGAGGGAATAGTATGTTTCAGTTTCTCCTACCCCTGTGGGCCCACAGGACTACAGTTCCCAGGGGCCCCTGCTACAGGCTGCTGGCCCCTAAGCAAAGTTGGCCTGTAATCTGACCATTCTGGAAAGGTCACCTCAGAGCTCCTTGAGAGACAGCAACAGGGGGAGATGGGCTTGGGTGGGGCTGGGAGGGGTGGGGATAGCGGCTCCCACCCCTTGAAACTCGGGGTCCTCATCTCCCTTTTCTCCAGACACCCAGTGTCCTACGCTAGCTGCACCTCCTCTGATTGGGGCACACCGACCATCAACTCCTAGCCCTTCAGCCTGAGGGGGGAGGGGGCCCTGTCCCCTTTTGCCACCACATGTGGCCTTCCCACCAGAGTGCAGCTAACATAGACAGCCCCCCAGTGTGGCCACTATGGAAGCTTGGTCAGACGTCATTCAGCCTATGGCTTGCAGTCTCCCTGGGCAAATGTCTAAAGCAAACCAAGCTGGCCCTAGCTGGTTTGGCTCATTGGATATAGAGCATCAGCCTGCAGACTGAAGGG